CATGAGCCGCTGACGCATAATACAAATCAATTCATAAATAAAACTTATACAAACACAGATGTAGAAGTCAGAGGTTGTTCGAACATTTTATTGTCGTTTCACTTGAACTTGCAAAGAACAGCAGCTCAATGCGCAGCTGTAGCTGTTTCATTGATATCCCAGTAAAATTATCGACTTGCTCGCTGGCAGCCTAATAATGGCATTGTGCGCCGGCTATGCATTCGGGCGCACGATCATAGCTGCCAACGCTGCATACTTACGTCGTTATGGACGTTCCCAGGCGGTCCGTGCGTCGTCTTGCCGCGGAAACTGCCGCAAGATCTGTTTGCAGCGCTTCGGATCAACACCTCCTTTCGGCAACGCTTGTCTAGTATCCCGTCTCATCTGGTTCCCTCTAGCAGCATACACGGTTATGCAACGCCCTACATTCGCTAATCCGACCAACCAAAATGTCCACTTTCTTCCCCTGTTATTGAGCAGGGTCCCTCTGCCAGACACTTGCACATACTCAGAAAATAGCTGTTTTTTCTACAGTGTCGTAGATTAGGGAGATATTAACATGAGTGCGCAAGAGCCGACCAAGGGCGCAGAACAAGAGCCATAACACAAAGCAAATAAAGTGAAGTACTTGTAATGCGCAGCTGAGCTGCTAATTAAGCTTACTTGTACTCGCTGAACAGCTTCTTGTCGACATTAATCGCCTCCTCTTGGCTGAGATACTTGATCGAATCCATTCTGCTACAGTAGGCAACTCTAGGTATCGAACACAGATATCGTAATTCTGCACTCACTTTTGCTAGGATTGGTAAAGCCTTGCTCTGAAAAATACATCGCAAAATCTATTAACCAATCCAGAAATAAAGCAGGTTATATTCAGCATCACAATGAATATTTGTTTGCATCTGTGTACTTCCTGGACAGTAACGATAGACTAAATTAGACAGCATGACCAAGCATACAATACTTTAGTGTTTTTGAGCTTACCAGCTAGCACAATTGTCAGAAAATGTTACAAAATAAAAATTTAGATCTGTTTACAGTAGTTTCATAGCATAACCTATTTTGCTTTTAATTTCTAAAGTACTGAAATAAATTTCAGAACATTATTATAGTAGAAAGCACCAATTGGAGTCTTTACATTTGATGTATATGTGCCATACACCGAATTTAGCACCGAGACAACACTATATACCGAGCTAATATGCATGCCATGAATAGATAAAGAATACTAGAGAAATTTACACCACAAATCAAAACTATAATTTGTCTCAACGGGACATTATAATCCTAGGTTATTTGATGATACTCCTTGAATGGATGCTCACTTACACGCACGATGTACTGCAACATCACCAATTCAAAGCCAATGGAAATCCTCAAGTTCAATCAGCTCAATCAGCACATATCTGACCACATGACAAGTGAAACGAAATTAGACAGGAGCATAACCAGAATGGCAGTCGGAAAGTGGAGTCACCTGCAGGAATACCAGAGTTTTTTTAGAGCACCTGATTGAAAACGGCAAGTTTGACTAAGCTCGGCAGTGAGTTAGACACCACAGTGTTACGTCATTAGCTGTACTGGTGTAGTTCCTGAGCTCCCACTACAGTACTCCGACCAGGCTCTCTGACTGTTTCATGTCGCAGGATGCTTCTTGCCACGTAGTGAGAAGCGAGAAGGTAACTTGTGGCTAGCCTACCATTACAGCCTAGTACAGCTGACACGGACTACACTACACTACACCGTCTACAGAGGTGCCGGTCATGCTTTGATTCAAAGTTTAAACATTCTTCTCAAATTCTCGACATAGGTTGTAGCCTATAGCCCTGTAGTGGCAGCGAACAGGCTACATCGGTAGAGCTAGGTGTTACATTTGTATGTGTGTGCTGCAGCGTGAGTGTGCACACAGGCACTTGAAGCGTTTCAATAAAATATAATGCTAAATAAATACGAAATCTATTTACTACCAAAGTCTTAATGTTTCTATACTCTTTTCACCTATTATTGCTGAGAGAGTCTATGTCCCCCAGGGTACTGCCGGAACGTACCCTGGTACTATCTAACATGCCGGACCGTACCTTGCCTACTCCACTAACGAGTCTAGGGAGTCGCCTACGCCTACTCCATAACCCTAACTCTAACCCTAACCCTAACCATATCAGATAGTTAGCAGGGTACGTTCCGGTATACCGTACCGTACCCAGGGTACGTTCCGGCACTACCCTGGGGGACATAGACCCTATGAGCCCTATTATTGCCAACAACTATTATTATTCCACCAAGAGTAGGAAGAAGAGGAACTGCTCTTGTTGGGTTACATTATTGTATCTACCCCTCACATAAATCGACCAGGCTCTCCGACTGTTACACGTCGTAGGAAGTATAACGTATAATGGCCAACGTAGTGTTAAGCAAGAAGGGAACTTGTGGCTACCCCTCAGCGTGCCGCTGAGAGGGTCTATGTCCCATAGGGTACTGCCGGAATGTACCCTGGGTACGGTCCGGTATACTGGAACGTACCCCGGTAACTATCTAATATGCCGCACCGTACCTCGCCTACTCCACTAACGAGTCTAGGGAGTCGCCTACGCCTACTCCCTAACCATAACCATATTAGATACTGAGATAGTTCCCAGGGTACGTTCCGGTATACCAGACCGTACCCAGGGTACGTTCCGGCAGTACCCTGGGGGACATAGACCCTATGAGCCACAGTGCCCTGGATATAATAATTAATATGCCGCAAAGTAGCCTACGTAGTCGGCACCCGAATATGAAAGATGCAAGTCATCCCCGTGGCTCGGATGACCACGTAAAATGGCGGTCCCGTCTCCAGAAATACTAGCCAATGGGGACGTAAAAGAACCACTGAGGGCGCAAAGGAACTCTGGCTGTGACCACCCTCAGTGCCATTTGGCTAAAGGCTGAGTACCTGGCGTTACCCAATTATTGAATTAAGCTAGATCCCACCTCATGAAGAAGAAGTAAATAAAAATAAAGAAGAAGTAAATAAATAGAAGAAGTAAATAAAAAGAAGAAGAAGAAGAAGAAGAACTAAATAAGGAAGAAGAAGAAGAAGAAGAAGAAGAAGAAGAATTAAAAATATTAAATAAAATTCCCTGCACATTCCAAAGAGAGAGAATCAGTGCATTGCCGCTTGTGAAATACAAGAGCCAAGATACAACATACAACAAGTCGAGAACTACACAGACATGCACAAAATAATATAGCTGGTTGGTAAATAAATTACTTCCACTGAGGATACGATCTAAAATAACTATAAATATTATTATTTTGATAAAAATGTGTAAACACATTGATTGAGTTTACCTTGTAAGTTGTAGTTCTTGTTGTACTGTAACGAAAGCCTGCGACACGACACCAGGGGCGCTGGTGATACACAAACAGAGCCGCGGCCCGCGAAGAGAATCTTATTACGAGAAGAACTACGAGATTTTAACAAAGGATTTATTCACTATAATTCCGTACATCGCTGGAAATCTCACAAGATAACTATCACTGATGATGTGGAGTCTACTAAATTGTGTACCTTCGCAATTTTTGGTCTGCTATGGATGCATGATGGGTAAAACAATGTTCACGATTGTGCAAAAACTGAATTAAGAACGTGCTGTAGGCCCCTATCTTATTTTGACACTAAAATCACAATAAAGAACGAAATATTAGACGTTATTGTACCTTTATAGTGTATACGGTTACAGATCTGGAAAACTCTCGTAGCACAGCAATGTTACATGAGGTAAATGTGTCGTAGTGCACGCTGTAGCCTAAATTAGTAAAGATAGAACATTGTTTACAAACAGACTCGGAAAGAAATAGAACTTAGAAGGCCCATCAACAGTGCTGATAGTGATATAGTGATACAAACTTCAAGAGTTAGTGTGTGTATTGAAGTTAGGACATCATACCGTAGCATGTTCCATTTTTCGGGCAAGCTAGTGACACAATACATTATATAATGTCAAAATTTTCTATAATTTACCCCTGATATATTATTACAGCTGATAGGGTCTATGTATCCCTGGGTACTGCCGGAACGTACCCTGGGTACGGTCCGGTATACCGGAACGTACACTGGTAACTATATCTGATATGGTTACTAGGTAGTAGGCGTAGGCGACTCCCTAGACTTGTTAGTGGAGTAGGCGAGGTACGGTCCGGCATATTATAGATAGTACCAGGGTACGTTCCGGTATACCGGACCGTACCCAGGGTACGTTCCGGCAGTACCCAGGGAGACATAGACCCTGGCAGCGATATTACAGCTCAAGGACTAGTATTACTATTAGACTAATTGGTGATAGTATGTATTGCTCAAACCTAGTTTGGAACCCCTATTTATATATAGTTCATATATATGCTAAACTAATTTGGGTCCGGGGTGATAAACTAGGATTGGGCCATATATTTTAACACGCGCGCACACGCACACACACACACACACACCACACCACACACACCCACACACACACACACACACACACACCACACACACACACACACCAACACACACTCACCACACACACACACACACACACACACACACACACACACACACACACACACACACTCACACACACACCACACACACACACACACACACACACAACACACACACACACACACACACATATATTGCTGATACACATAGTTATATACATGTATTTACTATTAGGTTTGATAAAAAATAATCTTTTGGATAGTGTACAACACCCATGTTCATGGCCATGAAATGTATCACATAGAAGCATGGTACGGCTACAGCATAGGTGTTGTAGGGCGTACACCTCCAATCCCTCTCTCTGGACCCCATAGATTCTCTCCTTTCCCCCAGGATCTCCACCTCTCCTCTTCTTCCTCTCTCTCCCTCTTGCTTCTTTATTCTTTCTTTATCTTCCTCTCTTTTGCCTACTCTCCCTAGTATTGTATGTACATATCCCTATGTGACCATATATAGTATTGTTACACCTCTAGTACATGACATAACCATATTGCTGCTGAAATGTTCCGTTTCACTCTTCTTTTTCATCTCCTCTTCTCTTTTTTCTTCTTCTCTCTTCGTTTTTGTCGTCTTCTTCTTCTTCTTCCATTATTGGGTTAGGTTACTCTGAGATATACTTATCTCTAAGTTATTCGACAGCTTTTCTTTAGGTATAAGATTTTCAAATGTATGAGTGTCAGGCTGTGTATTGACAATTTGACATTATGCTCGTAAGCTGGTTGGGATAATGTAATATATGGTCACGGTGGTACAGTGCCCTTTATCTAGCACAATACTACTATATCACTGCTAACTAAACTTATATTAAAATAACAGTTAACTTTAGATTATGCATTGCCTAACTAAAGCAAAGACATGATATAAAAAAAAGAATGAAAACAGTTTAGGCACCTCGAAACTACTTGCACTATGCGCCACGGTGTAGCTGCCCGTGTCGTAGAACTATTTCAGTATCTATATCTTATTCAATTCAGATAAACGAATGAAACTAGATTGCCATAATTATCGAATCTGTAATGATCACAAGCTATAGAACGAGAGCTCTCTTAGCTTAATTTATTTACCCCATATACATCAGAGTCCCTGCTTTACTCGGCTTAATATGTCAATGGTCATGATACGTGGACTTCTCTACATGTAATTATATGTTAGCACGAGGCAAACCACCAGACCACGACATAACCACCAGTGAAGGGGGAGTATGAGGGAGGGCTGTAACCTCCCTAATGGGTGCAGCCACATAGTTGGGTGCTTTAGGTAGCAGTTAATGGCCTCTAATGAGCAATTAATATGAAGAAACAATGTCAATGAGAAAATAGAAGGTTGGCATACTCATAAATCTCTTTGCATTTTTCAATCATTTGCTAGTATTCATTCGTAGAGGATGGGTGGGCGGGCCATAATAAAAATGTTGTTTGTTTGCCTCACCCGACCGACCCTGCCAAAAACGGGCGACTCAAAAAATTGTATTGATCTTTTTCTTTTTCTTTTTACAAATTGTATCAACTGGGGTACAGTATATAAATCTGTATGCAATACATTATTGCACCAAGCAAAACGAACATTCAACATAAAAGGTATCTCCACACAGCACACTCGAGCATGTAGACACCATGCTGAATTTGTAAAAAGACCCCTTAAAAAAAAGCCTACCTACCTACCAAACTTTTCGTGGGCACCCTATAGACGACAGGTTCGATAGACCGAAGGTCGCGATAGACCGAAGGTCGATAGACTGAATATTGCAAAGGGTTAGGGTTAGGATTAGGGTTAGGGTTAGGGCATATATATGGTTTATGGTTTATAGTGGCATCATATGATTTATAGTGGCATCGGTGGATGTGCGGCATATTCACGTTCGAATACGGCATCAGTGGATGTCCGGATGCGTAGCCTGGAGGCTAGGCAACCGATTCCGGACGTGTAGCCACTGCGTATTCGAATAAACCTTCGGTTTATCAGGCCTTCGGTTTATCGGACCTTCGGTCTATAGGGCTGTAACCAACTTTTCAGCCTGGGTCGGTTGAGGGCAAACAAAGATTTTTTAATTGTGGCCTGGATGGACGAAGTGGCTCTAATATCACCCTGGATGTGCCAGTGCATGTACTGTATGTTTATTCTCATTCCTTAGCTTCAGTCGTGCCTGCCGGCTAGTGATCATGTAGAGCTCGATTGCTTCTCGAATCGTTTGTGTTGATTGCAAATATTGATTGGTAATAATGACATGGTTAGATGTAACATATGCATTCTTTGCTAGAGTGCTAGATGATGTCAGGGTATTGATTGGAGCTGTGTATTTTCTTACGTAGCTAGCAGGCTAACTTCACGTGTGTATGTGGGGGGGGGGGGAGAGATGTTAGGAAAATCTGGTAGCGCGAGCTGGCAGGTAGAACCCCGGGCCACAATTAAAAAAATATTTGTTTGCCCTCATCCGACCCAGGCTGGAAATTTTTTGAAGGGGTCTTTTTACAAATTCAGCATGGTGTCTACATGCTCGAGTGTACTTGTGTGGAGATACCTTTTATGTTGAATGTTTGTTTTGCTTGGTACATATAATGTATTGCCTACAGATTTATATAATGTACACTGATACAATTTGTAAAAAAGAAGAGATCAATAAAAAATTTTGAGTTGGTTCCTTTTTGGCGGGCCGGTCGGGTGAACAAACAATATTTTTATTATGGCCCCGGCTGCTTTCACACATAATCACGGTGTGTTTGAGGACACATTGTGAGGTTTTTGGTGCTCACTGTTGACCTTTCATGTGGAGGTGTGCACGCAATGTTCAGATATTATACTAAAATCATGTGTTGTTCGTTTTAAACACCACCTTAATACTTGAGATTCAAAGTTGTGCTGGCCCAAGAGCTCGTGTGGGCTGTTACTGGGGTTGAGGTGTTTTATTAGTTAGATGAGGTCATTAGGTTCATTATATAATCAGTTTGTGACTGGCTGCTGTCCAGAGTAGATTGAAATGGTAAAGAGTTTAGAAGAGCAATAACTCCAGGTTATTTGTCATGTTTAAAAATACATATTTATTCTCTTTAGACAGGTCATAACAAAATGACCAGAAACTCAAAAGTTTGGTACGAGCTAGTTTGCCAATTCTCATTCCCACTTCATGGCCGTCAGGCGTCAGTGAAAGTAATTAAACTACATGTCATCATATATATACAGTAACACCTATCGTCTCCTGTCCCGCTACCAGTGATGATGAATTGACAGTGCCTGGTCACGGTGCCGCTGCCATGACAGCTGAACATTTAGTGAGCCCGGTGAGCTGCGTGCGGCTTGTGCGCAGGGGGTGGACGAGAATGGTTCGGCGCCGCGGAGAAAACCCGGAGCCTGAAGGGCAGTCATGCGAGGGGTCGCCAACGAGCAGGGCTGTCACCTGCTGTGAAGACCACCTGCTACTCACGGAGAAAGTGACGGAAGTTATCTCAGCAATCGACAGAAGAGAAGCAGAGGACTGATAAACGATTTCCACGAAAGATCGGTGAGATTGTTTGGGCATGTGTGTTCGCACCCGAGTGAGTTTCATAGGTGCAGTAATGTTCGTGCTGGTAACGCGGCGTGTGTAGCTTTGTAACGCTGGTTGTAAGCTTGTAGATAGCTGATGAGATGTGGTTGCACGGTTTACACTTTCCGAGTAATCCGCTATATCTGGCTTATAGGTGCAACACATGTACGAACACGATGCGTGCAGCACACGGGCACGCACGGATCGCACTCAGTCCATATGCACTAAAACAAGACGCACCACACACCCAACAGCGACACACCACAATCCATGCACAGCCAGCGCATTGCTAGGCAGCACGCACTCCGACGCATCCCACTGCAACGCTACACTGACACACGACAGCAGAACACACCACCATTTGCGATGCACGCACGCACCACGCCTGACTACACACACACAGACACAACGCATGCATGCACGCAGCGCAACTCACTGCAGACACACAACAGCACCAGACCACATCCCCGCATTGCATGCACGCAGCGCCCCACAGCAGACACACACACACAGACACACACGCAAACATTAAAAGGTGAATTTCTATCAGGCGACGACGCTTCGGAAGTGTCTGACGGCTCGTAGCAGTCGCCGGCGTCCGTCGGCAGAGGCGCTCGCGGTGCGGCGGCGTGTCTTGGTGAGGAAGGGAAAGGGGCGGCAGCCGGGTGGAGGAGCTTATGCCCAGCAGCTCCAGCAGGAATACGCCAGCCTGCTGTCGCGATACGCGGAGCCGAGCTCACCATAGATCAGCTGAAGCTATCGCACAAGGTAATGACCGATCGCTAATAGAGCAAGGTAACTGATAGAGCAAGGTAACTGCTGACTGGTAGAGGAAGGTAACCAATGACTGGTAGAGGAAGGTAACTAACTGGTGACTGATTGAGGAAGGTAACTGGTGACTGGTAGAGGAAGGTACTGGCCTGGTAGGAGGAAGGTAACTAAACTAGGTGACTGATAGAGGAAGGTAACTGGTGGCTGATTGGTGCTCACTGTATTTTTACTTGATTGTCTCGCTTCAAGGTTCTGCGTGTGTATAAGTTAATAGATGTGCTGGATGTGTCGCCTATTACCCACACACGTGTTTCCGGAGCATGCGCGTGTTTCAGGCAGTTTATGAAACTGCACGGCTATAAAAATGTGTAGGCATGGCCTAAAAATATTGATCTAAAGACACACTACAAAACAATTGCACCTCGCAAAATTTTTTGCCAAACACTCCCACAATATTCCTTCCTGGCGAATATACTCTGACCTGCCACATTGTTGTTTGCACGCTCTCTACATTTGTTTGTTTTTCTTGCAGGGACCATTGGAGCAGTCTATAGACTGGAGCACTGAACCTGATCACGCAGGTGTGTAACTTTCTACTCATGATTACATACTTACTAAGTACTGTTAGTGATTAGTGTGCATCTAGATATTGTGCTGAAATAATTTCTTAGTCTACTTCAGCTAGCAAATCAGAGTGGGTCAATGTGTAGAATAAGAAATCTTTACACAGATTGTGTACTCATAGACATCGTAGGTAGCTACGTTTTACAAACATTTGATTTGATGTGCTAGTATATATATATAATATATTAATTTATTTGGATATAATATGTTATCGTATGATCTATTAAATTGACGTAAATATATTCATGTTCTTACATATATATGCACTTAAGGGCTCACAATGCGCATCCAAACGCTAATTTGCTCCAGTACTAGACTAGCAGAATACTTCGTGGCATGCACCATAATCACACTACCGTTATGAAAAAATAAACTGTTAGTTCCTGCCCATTTCACTGCGGCGTGTCTTTATAAATGGTATTTGAAAAATACCATCCACTGTTGTTGTGGAAATTCGTCCGATGTTGTTGACAGTTTCCGCCAATCCCCCCGGCGAGCAAAGCCGTGCAGCGGTGGGGCCTGGCGTACAGCGTACGGAGCCGCAGCAAAGATAAATAACGATTGTGACGTCACGTTCAACCAACTTCGCGGCTGATATTGTTTGGGCAAAGCAGTTCGGCGTTTGAGGCCCACAATGCCAGTGATTCCTTCAGCTCTTTCTGTGTTTTAAGCAAACCCGCAGGTGAAATGGGAGCACTAGAGTTATTTTGTCATAAGGTAGTGTGATTGATGCATGAGCACGAAGTATTCTGCCTAGTCTAGTACTTCGGAGAAATTAGCGTTTGGATGCGAGATTGTGAGTC